TAATTTCTCTCAACTCGTATGTTAAACACACTAATCGATTGTTCACATCAATTTTTAAATATAACGACGCACCATAATATATGTGTATGTGGCTATGTGCATGCTTATGTTTCTTTCTGACGCTCTTACTGTGAATAATTTCAAGTCTGTAAGATAGACACTTTGTTTCGTACATGTGAAACCTGAATATGCTAGTTTTCAGTATCCATCTCACTCGAGCTATATTCGAACTCAACATGCAGTATCGCAAGGCACCTGATGGCTCGGCTAGGAAGGCTGAAGCCCTAAAGCAGTTTATGGAAGTCATGTCTCATAGGATGCACATAGACAATAGTATTAAACTCATTGGCAAGCTGTTATTTGGAATCGAAAGAGGCCCAGAAGTTCTTAACACTGTTCGGCCTGCCGGTCAACCGCTTGTTGACGACTGGAAATGCCTCAAGAAAATGGTAAAAGATCTTGGATTATCGGCCTCTCTTCCATTGTATTTTTCCCCTGGTCTTGCTAACTTACAAACATTCTCTGTTCATCGATGCAGGTGAGAACCTTCGAGGCTGATTGCGGATCACTGTCACAGTACGGGATGAAACACATGCGTTCCCTTGCGAACATCTGCAATGCTGGAATTCAGCCGGAAAAGATGGCTGAGGCATCGGCACAAGCTTGTGTCAGCATTCCATCAGGGCATTGGGGTTCCTTGGAGAAAGGGTTCAGTGCATGAAATTGTAGCAGAATTGGCAACCATAACTTTGATAATGTTGTATTGTATGCCCTAATGTATTTATTGTACGAAACTCCTAGCAATTCGATGATTATTCATTTGTTTGCTGAATCTAAAAGTAAAGACGCTTTAATTAATCACGTGTTTTTAATATATTTCATGTCAATTCTAATGCTAGTTCACAATTGTTCGAGATAAATATTAAGTTATTCGAAGGGTCAATAGATAGATAGTTATAAGGGTGTAAACGAGCCGAGTCGAGTTCGAGTATTGCTGAGCTCGACTCGACTCGAAAATTCTGAAATGGAGCTCGACTCGAAAACTCGCGAGTTTAAAATTTTCAAGCTCGACTCGAACTCGAAATCCTGAACTGAAGCTCGTGATCAGCTCGAAAAGGCTCGAAATGAAAAAAAAATTTAAACATAACTCGATTAAAATCTCAAACTCGAATATGAACCTTAAATACATGAAATCTTATTGTATTTTAAAAAAAATCAATACATAAATATTAATATTATTATTAATTTATTTTTTTAAAATAAAATCTTAATATATTATATTTTCGAGCTGCTCACGAGATTTTCGAGTCGAATATCGAGTAGCTTGTTTCAGCTCGTTAAGAACTCGAGTCGAGCTCGAGCTCGAGTCGAGTCCATTCGATCCGAGTATTTATCGAGTCTTGATCGAGTCGATCTCGAATAGCTTGCGATCTGTCTCGTCTCATTTACGGCCCTAGATAGTTCAACCTTAATCTTGACTCAAAAATTATCACATCAAAATTATTTATTTATTTTTAAAAAATCGACTAAAATAGGACCAGAGTGTTATATTTTTTCACTAATCATCCAATTTGATTTGGATTTAAAAAATTATTCGATTCAAAATTCAACTTGATATTTAGGGTGTGTTTGTTTGCCGTAATTGGAATTACGGAATTGATTTTTCCCGAATTCCCGTGTTTATTTCACGTAATTCGTTTTTCGGAAAATATTTTTCCGTGTTTGTTTCACATAATTCGTTTTCCGGAAAATATTTTCCCGTGGTTGTTTCACGTAATTGGTTTTCCGGAATGTAATTAATTTTCCTAGTAACAGAATTTATTTTGTGTTTTATATAAAATGACTTACGGATTCATTTTCCGTAAGTTATTTTCTGAACTTTTCACTTCAAAGAATAAATACTCAAAATAATTTTATTTTATGAATTTAATATTAATAAAATATTTTAATATCATTTTCATCAAAATATTATTTATTTATTTATTAAGATTTATAATAATATAATATTATATTTTTAATATTATATAAAATAATCAATTATATTATAATAATATAAGATATTATATTTTTATTTTAATAATATATAATAAAAATTTTATATATTTAATAATGAATAATATTATTTATATATTTAAATAATATTTTAATAAAGATATTTAAAATATACTAATTAATATTTTTAAATATAATATAACACTATTACTTTAATAAATAATTAATATAATTTATAATTTTATTTCACTAAAATATAAAAAAAATTAATATTTTTATTAATAAAATTATAAAAATAATATTTAATAATAAATAAATTATTTTAATATTTTAAAATAATAATATTAAGTTTTATGATAAATAATTATTTATTATATTTAATATTTGTAATAAATAATTTTTAAAAAACTCTTCAACTAGTGGAAAAAAATGTTTAAATAATATCTTTCAAGCATCATAAAAAGTTTTCTAGATGTTTTTCAGAAAAATGTAATTCATTTTACGGAAAATATTTTTCAGAAAACATTTTCCAGAAATGTAATTCATTTTCCAAAATTCAAATTCTAGTAATTCATTTTTCAGTTCCAATAATTTTAATTTCAATAATTCATTTTTAAAAAAATCAATTATAACTAAACAAACAGACTCTTAATGGATGTTACATAATTATATATAATTTTATACAAAATATTATCATTATTATAAAAATAAGAGATAATTTTATAGGGAGTATTATCATGAGTCATATCAATTTCTTTTACTTTTACTTTAAATTTAAAATTAATCCTATATTTTAAAAATGTCTAACGCTTTTTCTTAAAAAAACGAATACAATAAAATCAAAGTATGGATTCTAAACTCATATCCGTAAATCAAATTGCTGAAATTACTATCTCCTGCTACATTGTTAAGTGAACCAATGTCAGAGATGGTCACAAATTTCAGAAGTAAAGTCGGGAAAGCGCAATTACCTCCTTGGTTAAATTTGATTCACGAAAGGTAAGATTATCAAAAAATAAGATTACTGAAAATATTATATTTTGTGTTTGGTTAGTTTAACAAGAATATAAGATTGCTGTGTTTAGTTAGAAATAAAATATTATTAGAATTTATATTTAATCAAATTATCCTTATTATATATTTATTTTTTAATAAATTAGAAAATTTATATATTTTTTAAAAAAATTAAATTCATAAAATTTATAACTTTTTACAAAATTAAAAATATAAAAAGATTTAATGAAAGGGTAAAATTTTATTTTAACCCATGAACTTCATATAAAATTTTAATTATAGATTTTTTTGTAAATCTAAAATATTTTAAGGATAAATTTGTAATTTAACATTCGTAGAAATTTTATTTTTCAATGATAGAATAAGAATATTTTTGAAGAAAAATAATTTAAGGGCATTTTAATCCAAAACGTCGATAATACAACAATACCTAAAGAAATGGAGGTAATGACATTCCCAGTAATATATCCAAAAAAATTTACTATTAATAATGTAAGATTATCGGGAATGACATTCCCGACCAACCAAACATAAAAATATAGATTCTATTCTCATATGAATATCACATTCTTCTAACTAAACACACCTTTGATTTAGAAGTCAGCCAATACTTACTAAATTGTCCTGTCCTACAAGAGTAAGTAAAGTTGAGACATTCGGGTCGGAGGGACCCGTTATACATTTAACCATGGTTAGTTAACCAGGGTTTTCATAACTAACCATAGTCAACTTGTTGCGCAGTTGTGCTAAGCACCACCTCACCCGGCAGCGACAGAATTAATATAGAACAAAAAAGGTTGTGAAAAATATAATATTAGGAAAACTAATAAAATAATTATTCATGCGTTGTTTGAAGATTCCGCTATATCTATTAACGCCGTGACTTAAAGTTGAAGAGTAGAAAGGCCCAAGGATTGGTCAAATTTCATAGAAGGTCCTTGTATAACGCATCTTTGATGGATCTAATCATTTCTTTTTTAAAATGTGTGTTTTCTTTATTGATATTAACATTTTTATATTATCTTTATCACATAATTAGTCATCTACCTTATATATCATGATGAAACGACATACAAATATTGCTTTTTCTTGTAAAATTGAAAACCTTTTTTCAAGTTATAATAAAGGTAAAATATATTAAAGGTCACTGAATTATGTTTAAGAAATTACTTTTTATTAGCATTTTTAAATTATAAAATAATTATTAAATTTATCAAATTAATATAAAATAAGTATTTTAATATTATAATAATTATAAAAACTGATAAATTTAATAAATATCTTATAGCAATTTCATTAAATCTAAAGATAATTTTATAACCATTCGATAAATTAATAACCATTTTATAAAATTAGGCATATACTTTTAATCTTATGATGAAATGACACAAATATAATTTTTGTAAAATTGAAAATTTCTATCAAATTATAATAAAGGTAAAGTATATTAGAGGTAATTAAATTATGCTTAAATAATAAATTTAGTGCTAAAATTTTAAAATTATTAAATATATATTGAATATATCAAATCATTATAAAATTAACATTGCAACATTATAATAATTGTAAATATCTGATAATTTCAATAAATATTTTATAACAATTTGATAAAATTTAATGAGAATTTTATGATCATTTGTTAAACGTAATGAGTATTTTGTAACTTTTAAAAGTTTAATAAACGAAATGATCATTTAACATAATTCAGTAACATTATAGTCTACTTCACCCTTACTATAATTGGATCGAATTTGGAAAACTACATAATACAAGGATTTCCTGTAGAGTTTGACGCAAGACAATCCCGTAACGAGAATCGTAAGATAGACGGAGTTAACGGTTCAAATTTAGGGTATGCGATAAGAGGCGTTGGATTAATGATGAGCGGTTTGGATATCTCGGTGATGACAACTTTGGTGGTGTAACGGAGGGTGAGAAAGACGTATAAAGATTGGGGTATTCGGAAGGGAGAGAGAGCATTTCGTTTTTATGATTTCTTTGTTTAATTTCTATTTCTTCTTCTTTGTCTTTGCTAATTTGCTTCTACTTTCTTCTTCTTCTTCTTTATCGTGAACCAAACAGAATTCCTGAGGGAAAAAATAAAGAAAAAAATTAAAAGCTGATGTTAGTTTATAAATAAATGTTGAGGATCTAAAGCCGAGCGAAACAAAGAGAGACGGAGGAGACGAGAATTTGAGGAATTGTTTGGTGTGTTTGATTTGAGAGCAGCGATTGTGTTTCTATTTTGATTTGTTCTGATGAATTCTCGTTGTCTATTTCCAATGGATAATTTATTTCTTCTTCTTTCTGCAGATGCAATCGAAGTGGTTGGAGGAAAGTTTTTGCTGGTTCTGGAAACTAATTGTGAAGATTTCTTTTGTTTTATGTTGAAGTTTTTGAGAATCCGTAAGAAACGAAGCCTGTGAACGAAGCTCAAGAGATTTTGAGTTACTGCCATGTTCGATTCTTCTCTAGAAATAATTTTGTTTGAATTGTGTTTGGCAGATACATTTGGAAGATTACAGAGCTGTTTTCTGGAGAAATTTGGACTGAATTCGTCTGCAGATAGGCAGATCAATTGCTGACATATTCAAAGGATTAGAATCCTGTATCACAAGAGAGCCCGGAGAATAGGCTGTAAATGTCATTATTTTGTTGAAATCCAAAGTAAATTTGTGTTCATAACCATAAGACTGAAGCAAAGTTGTAACGGCTAAGGCTGAGTGATTTCAGGTATGAGATAGATCAGGAATCTGACTATCTGAATACCGATTCTAAATCCACCTCAATATAAATTGACTCGCCATTGATACACGCCAAGCTTTTGTTATTGTTTCTTCTTCTCAGTCTTTTCAGAAAACTCAGTGTTCTACCAAAGGGTTTTCTCAAGCTTGGATTTGATTGAAAATCGGAGTTTTGTTGACAGAGTTGATGTTTTCCCGAGAATGCTACATCTCTTTGGAGAGCATTGGGATTCCTTGTTCTCAGATTTCAATTTCACCTTGGAAGTGTTGTTTTTTGTTTTCGTTTTCTCAGAATTTGAATCACAAGTTTCTTCATAATCGGTCAATGGGTATTTTCAAACTATTTTAAGAAGAACTTGATATGTTCCGCTAAGATTTTTATCTTCTTTATTGAAATCTTTGTTTGGTTTTTTATTTTCGCTTGCCCAAATCTCCACTGAAAAAGGTTTTCTTCTTTTGCTGACATGCTCCCCGTATTCTGTTAATTTTCTTCTCGTTTCTGCGTAGCCAATGACTTCCCGTTTGGTAACCGGGAAACCAAGAGAAAATTACAACTACGACTAAAGACATCTTCGCTCACTCTGTTTCCACCATTTTAAAATCTTCCTTAAAGTAATCTTCAACTTTTCATCGGTGTTAATTTTTTCCTGAAAATTTTCCGTGAAAATTCCTAGACGTCACTATTCCGGTGATCATCTACGGCAACTGTTGCTTGAAATTGCGTGAATGTTTTAACAGAAGTGACATCCAAATTCTTCCTTTTCTTATCCAAATCGGCGCTTCCACTTTATTTCTGAAATTGAATCAAAAGCTTTTTTCCAAAATTATATTTATAATTCTCGATTTTCACTTTCATGATGGGACAGGTGTACACGAAAGGATGGAGAAGGACTCACTAAGGAGCAATAATAACAATGGTATCGTTAATAGCACTAACTACAGCAGAGATAGAGCCGCCGGAGCAGGAGTCCACGGCGGCTTGTTAAGATCCAGCTCGGATCCGGCCAAGCAAACGGCGTCGTCTTCTGCTTTCGTTTTGCAGTGGGGAAATCGGAAGCGTCTCAGGTGTATGAAGATGCAGGTCAAAGACGACCAGTCTGGACCGGTTAATCGAACCACGGTTCGAGTCGACCGCCGAGTCGTGAGGGCCGACAATGACTCTTCAAATCAGCCTAGCAATAATAATCACGGGAACGGATATTTAACATCCGTCACGGCCTGCTTCCCTCAGGCTCCTCCACCTCAGCGCATCTCAGGTACTGTGTGAAATTTAAGTTTTTACACTTCTCTAAATGGGTGTCGGGCGCGTGTATCATACGCTCCGTTTTGATTGGTTGTTCTTTGATGTCTGTTTTTACCACCCCCCACCCCGCGTTTCTGCGTTAGGTTTTTGCATTCTCAGACCCACTTAACTTGTTTGCCTGAAATTCTTTAAATAACCTTTTCCCCAATTTACGTAGGAATTAGATTAATATTATCAAAACTATTTAGAGAAATGATACTATTTTCTTTGCCATTTCTCTAAATAATTATTTTATGATATATTTTAGAATATTATTATTCTTAATTTCACTTTTTATGTTAAAATCCTTCTATTTTAATTTAATCTTAATTATTAATTTTATTTTATTTATAATCTTTAATCAATACAAAATTAATTTTTACACAAATAACTTAATTAAAAAGAATTGTTATTTTTTGATGTTTAAGTTTGAGTTTTAGAAATACTGAAAATATGAATATTCACTATCAAATGATTTAAAGTTATCTTTAAATAAATAATATTTTATACAGACCGTATATTAATTAAAAAACTGAATCCTATATATATATAAAGTTTTCTAGGTGAATTCTAAAGGAAAACCTTCTCAATCGGTTCTAAAGGAAAACCTTCTCAATCGGGGGACGATGAAACTGAGCCATTCCATGGATTTATATTGATCTCTCGTAATTAAGGAATTTTTAAAGTAAAACTTTCTTAAAATTATATCTCTTCATTATATTTTATATATACGCTTTAAGTATATATTTTTATAATCATCGATATTCGATCTATAATTAATTAATTTGAATTAGATATTGTAGAATTCTAATATGAGAACAATCTTCCTGTACCAGCGTACTCTATTTGTAAATGTAAGAGTTAAACTTTGACTTTGTTTAAGAATCTAATGTCTCATTTTACTATATCAATTAGTTATTGGTTATATAATGAGGAGTTATACTTCTTATGTAATCTATGTTTTTAATATGTAATCAAATACCTAAATCAAAATTTGTACAAGAATTTTATATTATTTATTTTACGTATATTTTTTTTAAAAAATTAAATAAATTATATAAGAATATTAATAAATTTGATTATTTTATTTTATAATATCAAAAATGAAGTTAAATTACATCGTTATTTGTTTTTTATTTGTGTTCGACTTAATTGTCATTCCTGATCTTAAGTATATTCAATTTTTTAGGGCATCATAATTAGACGGATCAGGGTACTTTTTTATTAATGATTTAATTTTGTATTTCTTAAATTTATAATTTTAGATATTTTTCCAGATGGGCCTGTCGACTAGTTGGTGAATGCATATAATGGGTCTTTCTTTTGTATAAAAAAAATAAATTTCAGCCACAGATTTGCTATTCTAACATTTCATCATTGTATGATTTGATGCATATTCAGGGCTGAATTATTTTCAATAGGCTCATATATATTTGTGCACTCTCCAATTTGGTCAGGTGGGCGTCAGTGTATGGTTCTGGAGAAAAGGAATAAAAACTCATGGTGAGTTATGAGAATGGCGCCTCTTCTGGTTTTACGGGTTTTGTTGATTTTTGGTAGATACGACTGAAACCAGGTTGCTCATGCTAGTCTAGTGAACATACATATTCCTCTAGATACAAATATAGGAAATCCTAGGATTTTTGCAAAGATTTCCTTGGTTTTCTTCTTTGAATCTTTGATCTTTCCTAGATTTTAAAGTTAAAACATAATCGGGAAACAAATATGGTGCTGTATCATTTAGATTATTATTATTAGGATATGTATACTAGGGATGGACATTTGATTCGAGCTTGACAAGTTTCGACCATATAAGATTCAGTTTTTTAAATTAGGGTTTAAGTCGGAGTTTTTGAAGGGTAAAAATTGAGTAAATCGGATTTAGGATAAATTTTACTTTACCCTACCAAGGAATAATATACTAGACCTTTATATATTTAGATCATTGTGATAATATTCCTTTCAATATGTTTTTTCATTTAATTTCTTATTTTATCTAACAAAAATAAAATTACATATTGTGTCGAATCAGATCTGATCGAGTAGAAGGTTTAACCTTAAAATCGGATCGAAATTCGAATTGGGTTCCTAAATTCGGATCAGATAACAGGTGAACAAGTGTTAGATCAAGTTGGGGGTTTAAAATCTAACTCGATTCAAGCCCATCCCTAGTTAATATTATGTAAAATTTATAAATTCTATATGAAACTATAACCTTAGATAAATGTAAATAAATGAGTGATGCTAAATTAGAATAAATTATTATTTATAAAAAATTAAATAAAAAATAATGTATATGCTCAAAGTTTAAAAATCTTTTGTTTAGATTCATCTAATATTTATATTTATATTTATATTTATATTTTAATTAATTAATTTTATACAATTATTTTTTTATTAGCGGATCATATCTCATCATGTATATTAATTAAAGATTTATGATAATAGATTAAAGGTGGGTTTTGCTTAGAATTGATAGTTATTACTCTTTGATGCTCATTTCCAGCGTTGGTAATTTATTAATATATTTTGTTTTTTTAGTATTAGTTATTATCGTTTTCTCGATTGTTCTTTGTCCTGCTCGAGACATTTGACAAATTGTTAGTATTGTTTTCTGTCTCTACACCTTACCACACCTGATCCTAAACCCGAGCATCCGTGGACTCATTGGAAAACATCGTCCATGAAAATACAGTTACCTACAAATAGTATGTTATGATCCCCCAAACCCTCTTTAAGCCGTCCGATCAGAAACTAGATTTGGGAATATGGTCCCACTTTCTAATACCAATCCATATCTCACCATGTAGGCAAAAAAAAAAGGAAAAGAATTGGCTTTAATCCAACGGCCATAAATTCACCTGAGTTCCTTTTAACAAACACTTGTTTAAAACCAATCTCAAAGTCTCGCCCTTTAAGAAAGCCAAACTTTCACCAACCGATCTAGAATTCTTGATCACTATAAGGTTATATTCGTAAATTTATTTACAATTTAATCCTTTTTTATTTTTCCAAAAATTTACTGTAGTTTATTTCTTTGTTTTTTCCATTTTTTTATTTTTATGATGCTTTTTGTCTCTGTATTCATATATGTGAATTTTTTATGTTAATGGTTTTTCCAGAAACTCTGAGAACTCCAGTGCTATGAGAGGCCAAAGCAACGGAACAGCTGTAAGAGGCTTCGCTTCGCCAGATAGGGGTGCGCACGATAAGAGAGTGGGTGGTAACAACTATAACAATAACCACCATCACCAGCAGCGAAGCAGCCACAACAACCATGATAACAAGCACCACCAAAGCAAATCAGCGGCGTCTTCTGAGATGGCTCACGACAGCAAAAAGGGAGGATCATCTTCAGGAAGCGGCGAGGCAGCTGCTCCGCCCATCGTTTGGCCGCCGAAATTCGTGATCGCTTTGACGAATAAAGAGAAGGAAGAGGATTTCATGGCCATCAAAGGATCTAAACTGCCACAGAGACCCAAAAACGAGCGAAATTCATTCAACGAACTCTCAACGTAAGCTCTCTCACTCTTCCTTGAATTGAATCGGAAGTTCTGTTTTAAATTTAACTCGAATTGAATAATTAGTTATTAGATTAGAGCAGATTTCGGTTTGAAAATAAGATTCACTTTCTATATATGGGGAAAATCATGTAGACGACGTACAAAACTTAGACTTACAGCAGGGGAGAACTACCCGTGAATTTCACGTCAAATAGAAAACCTTTTACAGTAGTGTATACGTGTCAACAATGATTGGATTAGAATCTGACTGGAAAGGCTGTGACCCCATAATGGTTTGCTTGTGTTGTGTATACTATGATGTATTTGGCAATGCACGCCTACTAAATAGTAATTTGAACCGAGTGAACTTTGTGGAAATAAGGTTGTATCAAAATAAAAGAAAATGAAAAATATTATTAGGAATAATTGTTACAATAATTTTTTTATCTAGATTTTTATTTTATCAAATAAAAGAAATTAAATTAGAATGGAGTCAATTTGAAGACTGAGTGAAATTTTCTTAAGCCCCAATTAAATAAGGTATTGGGTAAGGAATATAATTCTAGAATTGGGTTTTAGGTCAACGTCAAATATGATCTAAGCCGAACAGTTGTCATTCTTACAGACGATAATATGGATTTTTTTCTAATAGAATATGAAAAAGTAAATTAAAACTGGACCACACAACACGGTTAATTAAAAAAAAGAAAAAAAAGGGTAGTTATATTCGGGTTATGATAATTATTATTAATTTTGTAAGTGAAAAGCAAAGGACAAAGTAGGGCACACTAGTTAGCAGTCATTGGTCGACCCATCGTTATCTGGGAGGGCATTTCTGTGAATATGCTGTTACTGTAGGGTTTACTTTTTGCGCCATGGTTGAATAATTGTCTTCCAGGGGTGGACCACGTTGTGATGCATAAAAAACACAACACTAAATGTTATTCTTTTTTTCCCTTTTTCTTTTCAAGACTAGTGGATCACGCATAATTTAGGTGAAGGCAACACTGTTGAAAATACATGAATTTTACGAGTTTTGATCTGCTTTAATTTTATAATTTCGTTTTCTTAAATTTGGATTTTGAGGATGTCGGTGCGGGTTTTGTGAAGGAAAATCACAGTTGGGGCGGAGGTGGATTTAAATTTAAAAATATCCCCAATTTGATCATATCTAGATTCCGACTATAATGTTCCTCTTTATATATTTAAAGATAATGTTTATTTATAATTTTATTTTCTTAGTATCTACCGAATGGAACATCACCTAATGTTTAAGATGAGACGTTGAAAACCTTCAATTTTTTGGGTCGAGCTTTGGATTAGGGATGATCATGAGTTGGGTTGAGTTTTTGACTCACTTGAACTCCACTTTATTATATAAATCATACACTTATCATTCTATTTGGCTCAATCCAAGTTTAAGAAAGCTTTATCTGATCTTGATTTTGATCTGATTTTTAGGATAAAACCTGGACTAGATTCGATTCGACATAGATATATATATATTCATTAGGTAAAATAGAAACATAATTAAAAATATAGAGATATTATAACAATTATCTCTAATTATATAAAAGTAAATTATATTATAGCAATAATATTATTTTTCACCCTTAACGAAACCTGATATGATCTTATCCTTAAAATGGTTCCCGCTTGAGTTTGATCTTTTTACAGGTTTTCTAAATTATTGTAGCGTCTTATAGTGATTTTAGAATTCATGGTTTAAGTTTTGTTGATGTGATCATCTATGCGTCGTTGTTTTTGGATAAGAAATACGTAAACCATTGTTTAACATTTATATTTAAGCCTTAAACATTCTAATTCCGAAATAATTTTTGTACAGCTGGTAAGCCCGGGGGCGTGGCTATGCGATTTAACCCTCGAACGATACGAGGTCAGGGAGAAGAAGATGACAAAGAAGGTATCAAAATAAGTAAAATTCTACTTTCGCTGAAATCATTATTATTGTTTCTTCTAGTTTTTTCTCTGATCTAATTCGAATCTATGTACGATATCAATATCATACATATATATAGTTGTTCAAATTCGTTAACGATTAATTTAAATATTGAGTCTTAAGTTCGACACTCATATTTTAAACATGCATAAGCTTTTTGGAATTCAGTAGGCGTTTTTATCTGAACTTGAAGCGGTTAAAATGTAACGTTTGCAGAGACCAAGAGGATTGAAGGCAATGGGAACTACTAATATGGAATCGGACTCCGAATAAGAAGACAAGACCTGTTTAGGCGTCGGGATCGAGTATCAGAAAATGATGCTCCGATGAAAACTTTGAAGATAAGTTGGTCTTTATGTTGAAGATGATAAGAAGGATTTGAAGTCGTGTAAATGACGATCCTTTTAATCTTTGAGACGAATGAAAAAAAAATTAAAAATCAAAGCCAAATTTTATTTCTTACATTCTCCTTTTCTTATGGGAGGCTCGTTATTTTTTATTTTATTAAATAAATTATTCTAAACTCAAAATTAATATAAAGTTAAAATAATTTAAATTTAAAATGATTCGAATTCGGAATACGATTACGAGCCTCACAACACATCTCATCCTTCAACCTCATACTATACTGCAACACACCTTCTCCCTCAATATCTTTCTGACGCCGAAAACATTACAACTCACATATATTACTTGGTATTTACAATTTTTTTTATTTAATTATGTATTTGAATATAACTTTTTAAATCTAATTGATATATGAACTAAAATACTATGGTCAATTAACTAATTGGACCAAAAAAGCATATATCAAATTGAATATTAAAATTAAGTTCATATATCTTATTGGATAAAAAATTTGAATATCAAATTAGATCTTGAAGTTAAATTTAAATAAAAAAATTATATTTATTAAAAGAAAATTAAAGATAAAAATGATTTTATTTATGTATTAGTACATACAATTTATATT